CCTGGGACTACAGGCATGCACCACATGCCCGGCTAATTTTTTGTATATATATTAGTTGGCCAATTAATTTCTTTCTATTTATAGTAGAGACGGGTCTGCTCTTGCTCAGGGTGGTTCGAACTCCTGACCTTGAGCAATCCGCCCGCCTCGGCCTCCAGAGTGCTAGGATTACAGGCGTGAGCCACCGCGCCCGGCCTGTATATATTTTTAGTTGGCCAATTAATTTCTTTCCATTTATAGTAGAGACGGGGTCTTGCTCTTGCTCAGGCTGGTTTTGAACTCCCGACCTCAAGCAATCCGCCCACCTCAGCCTCCCAGAGTGCTAGGATTATAGGCGTGAGCCACCGTGCCTGGCCAGGGCAGCCTCTTAAGTAGGGGATTTTATTGAAGCCAGAGCTTGGGAAACAAGTAGGAGCTGGCCCTGGGGAAGAGTTCAGGGCCTGGGGCGGGTGGCACCTGTGTATGCCAAGGCCAGGAAGCTGGGACCTCGAGGGCTGGTCGTGGGAATCCTACCAGCTACATGGCTGGTAGCCCAGATAACACAGGGACTGCAATAGAGCTGTAGAAGGGAGACAGATGATTCTAGAAGAGTGAGGATGGAGGGGCCCTCTGTTCGCTTCCTCCCTGCAGCCGGTACCAGGCCGGAGTTGGGTGGGCAGCTGCAGTGCAGCAGAAAAGGCCGGGGGTGCCGGGGGACATGGCCCAGCTCACTGAGACCCAGAGCCTGGGGAGGGTGGTAGACATTATGATATTTTACACTGAGCTCCTGACACCCTGAAAGCTTAGAGGGTGGCTGGAAACATGAGTTTGCTTTTTGGGGAAACCTTGATGGCAGACATGGGCCAAGGGCCTGTAGGCCCCTAAGCCCACTGGGGGGACCAGAGCAGTCACCTCCCCAGCCACCCAAGGGAGCTTCCAACCCTGACTCTCTCCCTTGCTGGCTGGGTGGCCTGTAACCTGTGTCTAGTCACTTCTTGCTCTTGGCCTCGGGCTTCCCAGTTCCTGAGCGGGGAGAGAGATTCTCAGAGATCAAGCCAACCTTGCCTGCTAAAGAAGGTAGGGCCAAGCACAGTGGCTCACACCTGTAACGCCAGCACTTTGGGAGGCTGAGGCATGAGGATTGCTTGAGTTCTTTGGAGTTCATTGCTTGAGTCCAATGCTTGAGGCATTGGAGACCAGCCTGGGCAACATAGCAAGACCCTATCTCTACAAATCTAGAGTTCAACCACCTGAGCGAATGTCCCCATGCCCACTCACCTATCGATCTGCCTGTTCTACCCCCCCCCATTCATCCATTTTGCAAACATTGAGTTGGCACCTAATAGTGCGCCAGGTCCCGGCTGAGGCTCCGAGGGTATAGCAGTGATTTACACAACTTTCTTTGCTTTCTTGAGGCGTATTGCCTTGGGGTACCTGAGGCAGACAGGTAAACGAGGAAACTGGACCAAGTGGGACAAAAGGCCTGAAGGGACTGAATTTGGTGGTAGTCTGGGAAGACTTCCTGGAGGAGGTGACATTTGAGCTGAGCTGAGAAGGATGAAATAGCTGGACACATGGCTGTCTGGGCTGGTAGCTTATTAGAGGCCTTGGGGCAGCCATGAGCTTGGTACGTTGGGGGCCTGGCAGGCAGGGGTTATGCCGAGCTGAGCTTGGGGAGCAGGGGGGGCCTGGGCCAGCACAGGGAGTGCAGGAACCCGCCGGAATATGAGGGGCCGGGGTGAGGCAGAGCCTTGGGCTCCGGGTCCTGCTTGGGGCCTTCAGGGGCAGCGGCGTGGCAACGTCCTGGACTGTTGGTTAGCAGCCCGCGGGCGCAGGGCCCTGCTCAGGGAGCAAGGGCCATCTAGGAGGAAGGGACATCGGGGCCCAGCGCGGGGGCAGGCTGTGGCTGTGTGCAAACAACCCCCTTCCTCGGGCACATCACGTGTTCCCGCCTGGGCCTCTGGCCGCAGGAGTCAGGTGACCCCAGGCAGCAGGCCAGGCTGCTGGGCGGGTGTGTGTGTGTGTGTGTGTGTGAGTGAGTGAGTGACATCTGCTTTTCTCACACCCCCAGGCGAGCCCTGCATTTCCCAGCTAGATTTAAAGCAAAACAAAACAAAGCCATGTGCGTCATCCAGCAACTCTGGGGCCCTGGGGGGGGGGACGGTGGGGGGGGCTGGGGGCGCCGTGGGGACTAGGAGTGCCCCTCTCAGACTCCTGGCTGGGCTCAGGGCTCCTGGCCCATCCACGGCCCCACCCCGCCCCGGTACAAAGCTCCCTCTCTCTCCCCCAGTTTGGGGGTATTTTTAGCCACTAAGAAGGATTATCAGTCTGGCCCCCAGGTGGCGGGGGCAGAGCCAGGCACGGGGCCAGGGAGGCTGCAGGCTGCAGCCGGGCTGGGGGCGGGGGCGGCGACAGGAGAATAAAGGCTCTGGGATGGTCACGTTGGCCCAGCCACCCACCTACCCGGTGACTCTCCAAATGACCCCGCTCAGGGCCGAACCCATTAGCAGGGCTGTAAGGGAAGTCGGAGCACCAAGGGGGAGCCTCCAGGTGGCCGGAGGCGCTTTGGATGCCGGGAACCCGGGTCCTCAGGGGCCGGGAGGAGCCACTCAGAAGCCACTGCAGGCCAGCGCCCCTCCTTTCCAGAATATTCTCCTCTGCTGGTAAACATCGCGGCCATGAATTGTACTTAGCGCTCGCTCCACCATGGGAGTCGTTCCCAGCGCTCCGTTAGGCAGGGGAGCTGTGGCTGGTCTCATTTGACCAAAGAGGAAACTGAGGCACAACTAGCCTCGGTCACCTGCCCAAGGTCGCGTGACTGGGCAAAGAGGTGAGGCAGGATCAGTGGCGATGCCAGCGCGGAGCGTTTATGGACTGCCCGACCACTGCCTGGGACCCGCCGGGGGAGGCCAGGGGGCTTGGACGTGTCCTCGCACGCCGTGGTGTTGCAAGCTTAGGGGACAGGGGAGGGCACACAAGAGCAGGGCTCTGTTGATGTCCCCAGCCTCCAGGCCCACCAGTCACGGCCGACACCCTGGTCCAACCATGCCATACCATGTCACCTGTCCCAGCCTCCACCAGTACTGCCCTCTGCCTAGAATACTCATTTATTGCACCATGCTGGGTGCAGAGGACACAAAATGGTGGGGAGAGGGAACAAGGTCTCTGCCCTCAGAGGGCTTACACACTTCCTTCGTCTGTTTGGCAAACTCCTATGCATCCGTCAAAACCCAGCTCAGTGGTCGCTTCCTCCTGGAGGTGCACCATGATTGCCCTGCCTTTGATCCAGTGAAAGCATCCTCCCCCAGCCCTGCTGTGCTGTTGGGAGCCGGCCAGGCAGTAACATGACCAGTCTCAAGTTCTAGTCCCCTCTAGAACTTGAAGCAAGCCCACCTCTTCCTGGGTAGGCCAGAAAGGGGAACAGAAACACACTGTCCACACCAGGGAGCCCTCCAAGGGAGCTTCGGACGGATAAGTTCTGCCTGCAGACGACCTGGCCTCAGAAATCCTACCCTCTCGCTAGCCTGTCTCTTGAGGCATAAATAAGAGATGCTGTGGTTTGGGAAGAGAACACGTTCCGAAGCCCGTCAAACTGGCTGGAGTCCCAGTTCGAATGCTTCAGACTCCAGGAGCCTCAATATCTTCACCCGTTAGTGGGACAAGTGCCCTCCCTGAAGCGTGATCACGCAGCCCAGAGCCCCGTGCACCTGGAACATTTGGGGCCAGACCTGGCATAGGGGAGGGGTGCAGGTGCGGCTGTAACCAGGTGCCCCCAGCCAGCAAGGCCCAGACTTCTCTTCCCGAGAGGAGTGGAGGGAATGAGGTCTAGGGTTGTACGCCTCAATTTTCAGTTGTTCTCTGAAAATTCCATCCCTTGTGACACTCTGTCTCCCTGGGCCTCAGCTGCCCCATCTGAAAAATGGGCACAGCCAGATCCCCTTCCTGTTTCACCAGGCTATTGTGAGATCCTGTCTCAAAAAACACCACCACCACATCGCGTTGAACACCATAAGTATATACGATTTTATTATTTAGATAAGGTCTCACTCTGTTGCCCAGGCTGGAGTGCAGTGGCGTCATCATAGCTCACTGCAGCCTCAAACTCCTGAGCTCAAGTGATCCTCCTGCCTCAGCCTCCCAAGTCCCTGTAGTAGCTGGGACTACAGGCATGCACCACCATGCCTGGCTAGATTTTTAAAAAGTTTTTTGTAGAGAGAGGGTCTTGCTATATTGCCCAGGCTGGTCTTGAACTCCTGGCCTCAAGCGATCCTCCCACCTCAGCCTCCCAAGATGCTGGGATTACAGTCGTGAGCCACCGTGTCTGGCTCCTTTCCTGAGGGCATTTAACTCTTGCGGGGGGGGGGGGCCCTACCTCCAAACTGTCTCCGGAATCCCATTCCTTGCATGGGGCCCAACACCCTGGGGCTTCCCTTCTCCCACAATAAAACCAAGGGCAACGGGACCCCCAGACTCCACCGGCGGGGAGCGTGAAATGGTGCCACCACCAGGAAAACGGTTTGGTTGTCGCTTACAAAGTTAAACATGCAACCGCGAGAAACGAAAACTGATGTTGACACGAGACACATCTGTGACCGTTCAGAGCGTTTAGAAGCATCCCAGATGCCCATCAACAAGCCGCGACGAGCCAGTTGTGGTGCGTTCACACCCTACACACAATGTGACAATAAAAAAAGAATGTCAGGCTACTAACAGATGCAATAACGTGGCCGAATCCCAAACAACATTCCGCAGGGAGAGAAGCCAGGCTGGAAGACGCAGCGTGCGATTCCATTTATGTGAAGTTGTAGAAGTGGCAAAACCAAGCTAAGGTGACAAAAAAAAATTCAAATAAAAGAAGAAAAAAAAAAGAACTATGTGATAATAAATTCGTATTACTTTAAGCCATTAAAATAAAATAACAAAAAATTCAAAAGGAACAGTGAAGTTACCTTCGGATGACTGAGTTGGGGGTGGACCAGCCAGGGATGGGAGGGAACTTTCTGGAAGGAGCGTTTGTTGTAGGAGATTAGGTTAGCGAGGTACGCGGATGTGTCCAAACTTACCAGCTGTGGGCTTACGATGTATGCATTTCGCTTGGCTCAACTTTCCCTTGAAAGGAAAAAAAATACGCAAATATCGAGCCCTAGTTAATGATCTGCATGCGGAAGTGTTCAGGGGTGGCATGTCTTGCTGCCGGCTTTGCAATGGACCCAAACATCAGTTGAGGAGGGGACGGAGGAGGGAAGGGTGGGCAGGTGTGCTCCTTCCCTCCCCCCTCACTCACTCTGCTGGAGCCACAGGGGCCCCCTTGCTGGTCTGTCGGCCTCAGGGCCTTTGCACCTGTCCTGACTGTCTCTGAAAGCCCCTCCCCCCAAGCCCCACCTCCTCCTACACAAACCCAAGACCTCCTCATCTTTAAGTCTCAGCTCACATGGCTCCTCCCTGGAGAGGCCGTTCTTGATCACATTTATTTATATATTTTTTAGGGACATTGTCTCACTCTGTTGCCAAGACCAATGCACAGTGGTGCGATCATAGCTCCCTGCAGCCTCAAACCCCTAGGCTCAAGCCATCCTCCTGCCTCAGCCTCCCAAGTAGCAGGTGTGCAGGTGCGCACCACCATGCCCGCCTAATTACCTTGATCACATTTGAAATCACAGCACCCTGTTTTCTATCGGGTCCCACTACACGCTGGGATCTCATTTCTTTGGGAATCTGTGCACTCGTCTGTTGGCTGCCTTCTCTGCGGAGTTCTGAGCTCCACAGGGCCAGGAGGGTGCTTATTCCTCTGCTGTGTCCCCAAGACCCAGTGTCGACCTGGCATGCACCAGTCAATCAGAGAACATCTCTTGCCCAGATTGATGGATGGATAGGGGATGGATAGATGGGAGATGGATGGGGGATGGGTGGGTGGATGGATGGATGGATGGGTGATGGTAGGATGGACAGACAGGTGGATGGATAGATGGATAGGTGGGGGATGGATGGACAGATGGGAGATGGATGGATGGACAGACAGGTGGATGGGGGATGGATGGATGGACTGGGGGATGGATGGTGGATAGATGGATGGATGGGAGATGAATGGATGGACAGACAGGTGGATGGATGGATGGATGGACAGGGTAATGGATGGATGGATGGATGGGAGACGGATGGATGGAAGGATGGGGGATGAATGGCAGATGAATGGATGGATGGACAAACAGACGGATGGATGGATGGACAGACAGATGGATGGATGGATGGACAGGGAGATGGATGGGGGATGGATGGATGGAAGGACAGACAGATGGATAGGTGGGTGTACAAATGAATGGATGAATGAACAAACGGTGCGGATCCGTGTGGGTGTCTGGACGCTTAGCTCAAGATCTCAGGAAAGGGAGCAGCTCTGGGGCTGCTCAAGCAGGCTCAGGCGCCGCAGGCTGGAGCCGCCTCCCGGGCTGCTGTGGGTGGGAAGCTGCCCCACCTTGGTCTCTGCTCTGTTATCCGGCAAGCTGGGTCATGCGACCGGCTCTCTTACCCACCCACAGCCCGGGCGCTGGGGCTGCCAGTGAGACCACCCACGTTCCTCCCTACAGGGGAGTCTGCCTGCCAAAGCATGGCCAGGAAGGGCACTGCGGATTTCTTTAAACCCTCCATCTTTAGTTTGTGTCAGGCAGCTTCCTGCAGTGGCAGCAAAGCTTCCTGGACGTTTGAGGACTCAAGTTCCTAAGCCCCAAGCAACCGCTCCCCCGACTTCTGAATGCCATTCCGCGTCTGCAAAGTGCAGAATAATAATTATTGCTTTGGGCTGTGTGGTTACCACCCTTCTTAAAAACCACGAGGCTAAGCACTGTGTGCCTTACCAGTCTGGGCTGAGAGGTGGGTATTACTGTTCCTGTTTTATAGGTGAACTTGAGGTTCAGAGAGGTCTGGCCATTTGCCTGAGGACACACAGCCCTCACCTGCCTTGAATGTTGGCCATCAAATAAACACTCCGCAGGGCAATGGAGGGGATGGGGGCGGGGTGGTGGCCAAGGCCGTGCCCTTCTGAGACCAGAGAGCTGCTCCAGTGTCCCTGGCAGAAGGAGGTGGCTCCTCCAGCCCCACCCCTTGGTTGTCAGTGGAGCTGATGGCGGCCGGGGAGGGGGTGTGTGCCTCTCCGCCCCTCCCCTCCCCCTGCCAGCCCGCCCCACCTGCAGGGCTCCCTGCTAACCGGGACATGTGTGTCTGCAGGATGTTGTCCACCTTCAACGAGTGGCTCTGGCAGGACAGGTTCTGGCTACCGCCCAACACGTCGTGGGCCCAGCTGGAGGACAGGGATGGCCTGGTCTACGCCCACCCCCGGGACATGCTGGCGGCCCTGCCCCTGGCGCTGGCCCTGCTGGCCCTGCGGGTCACCTTCGAGAGGTGAGTGCCTGCATGTCACAGCCTGTCAGCCCCATTGTCGTTCGTGGGCGTGCTCCTGCCCCCCTTTGCCTTCCGAATGTTGTGTCCCGGGCGGGCTTTGCACCCGAGCACTTTTCCAGCTCCAGCCTGCCCCCAGCTGCCACCCCCCCCCCACTTCTGGTCTCTGATTGCTGGTTTATGGGAACCCTGGCCGCAGCTTGGGGGCGGGTGTGCTGGCATCGGCAGGTGGGAGCCTGGAGGACACATGCCCACTTTGCTTACCGAGGCGCATGATTGACAAGTGGAGAAGCCCCTGCCCCCTCCCTCCTGCCTGCAAGCAAAGCCTTGGGGACCTCCTCCCTTTGTCTCCTGGGGATAAGTCTCTCCAAATCCCCCACTTTTGGCTCCTCCTGACACCTTCCCTGGATCCCGCCCCTCTTTTTTCTTTTAGAGACAGGAGTGTCACTCTGTCGCCCAGGCTGGAGTGCAATGGTGCGATCACAGCTCACTGCAGCCTTGAACTCCTGGGCTGGAGTGATCCTCCCGCCTCAGCCTCCCAAGCAGCTGGGACTGCAGGTGCAGCCACCACCCCTGGCTAATTTTTAAATTTTTGATGCAGAGATGGAGTCTCACTATGTTTTCCAGGCTGGTCTCGAACTCCTGAGCTCAAGTGATCCTCCCGCCTTGACCTCCCAAAGTGCTGGGATTACGGGCGTGAGCCGCCATGCCCGGCCTGGCCTCCCCTTTCATCCCTCACTCCTCCCCATGCACCTCCCTGCAGCCTGGCTTCCCATGGCCCAGTACGCATGTGCCACCTGCCCAGGTCCCCAGCGACCTCCCAGTTGCCAGACCCCGTGAGTTTTCAGCCGTTTCTCATGTGATCCCAACACTGTGCAGAACCAGGTTTCCTCCTCTCTCTCTCTCGGGGTCTGACTCCTGGCCAAGATTCTCCTCCCGAAGTGTGGGCATCTCTCCTGGGGCCCCTTCCCTCTGTGCCAGGTGGCCCTGCCCTCTCCCACGTGGACCGGCTGTGGTCATGGCTCCCAGACCTGCCTTGTCAGGCCCCTTTCCTGCCTGAGACCCCGCCTGACTGCCCACTACCCTCAGCTGCCCTCCCAGAATACCTGCTGCCCCCCGAAATCTCCCCTGGGAACTTGCATTGATTTAACAGATTCCCTTTTGAGGGTTTACCCCGTGCCAAGCATGGCTCAAAGCAGTTTATGTGTCTTAACTCCTTGATGCAACCCCAGGCAGTGGTGCTATTATAATGCCCATTTTACAGAAGAGGAAACAGGCACAGAGAGGTTGAGTGACCTATCTAAGGTCACACAGGAAGGCAGGTTGCAGGTTGCATATTTAAGTGATAGCCTTATCTGAGGCTGGGTGTTATCACATTCCAAAGACATCCTGTGCCTCTGTGAAGGACAGGGGTGGGGACAGGCATAGCCTTTCCCACTTACAATCGGCAGGGGTTTTGTTTTAAAAGTGAATCCTAACCAGGCGTGGTGGTTCATGCCTGTAATCCTAGCAATGTGGGAGCCCGAGGCTGGAGGATACCTCAAAACCAGCCTAAGCAAGAGCGAGACTTCATCTCTACAAAAAAATAGAAAAATTAGCTGAGTGTGGTGGTGCACACCTGTAGTCCCAGCTACTTGGGAGGCTGAGGCAGGAGGATGGCTTGAGCCCAGGAGTTGGAGGCTGCAGTGAGCTGTGATGATGCCATTACACTCCAGCCTGAGTGACAGGGCAAGACTCTGGTCTCAAAAAAAAAAAGTGAATCCTAATTCTGGGACCCACTCACAGTTGATAACGAAATTCAGTCTCCTCCTGTGGGCTCTAGGGGCCCCCTTGTGGCCAATGTGGTGATTGGCCAGGGTCCCTGCTCCAAGTCCCCACCCTGAAGCAGACCCTGCCCCTGCCCATGGAGAGCTCCCAGTCTAGGGGACAGACCACCACAAAGGCCCTCGGGAGACAGGCGGCGAGGGGACTCTCACGCCTGGTTTGGGATTGGGTGAAAGTGCCTGGGTACCCCTCGAGTTGGTCTGCGCACCCCCATCCTGAAGACAGGTCCAGCTGTCTGGGAGGTGAAGCCCCGCCCCTCCCTTAGAAACGAGGCCCCGCCCCTTTCGCCCTCCCAGGGAGGTGAGGCCCCGCCCCCTGGCCTGCACACCCTGGCCTGAAGACAGGTCCGGCTGCCTTTCTGTTTGGTTCTGTGCAGCAGACACGCCACCCCTCGAGGGAGCCAGGGTGCGAGGCCAGGAATGGCAGCAGAAAGGTCATGAGCTTTTGGCTCTGGTGTGCCCCCCACTCCCTGCTGTGCCTCGGTCCCAGCCTCTCCAAACCCTCTGCTCAGACGGATGAGACAGACCCCAGGTCCTACACGCCCTGCCGTGTGCACAGTGTTCCTTTGGCCCATAACGTGGACCCTCCAGGACTCAGTTGCCCCACCTATAACAGGGTCCCACACACACAGTCCTGTCCCTTCCCAGCGGGGCTGACGGCCTCTGTCTGCCTTGCCCCAGGTTTGTCGGCCTGCCCCTGAGCCGGCTGCTGGGTGTGCGGGATCACACCAGGAGGCCGGCGAAGCCAAACCCCACGCTGGAGAGACACTTCCTCACCGACGGGCCGAGACCCAAGGAGGTGAGAGCCCCTCCCGCCCGTCCCCGTGGGCTGCCCTGGGCATGGGGGTGGTCTGTGGCCCGCTTGTGGGGGCAGAGGAAGTCGTGGTGGCCCTGGTACCCCACAGTGCCCCCCACTCTCTGCTCTACCTGGTCCCCAGCTTCTCCAAAGATGAGGCCCCGCCCCTCCCCAGCCTCCCTGGAAGATGAGGCCCCGCCCCTCCCCGCCTCCCTGGGAGACGAAGCCCCGCCCCTCCCCGCCTCCCTGGGAGATGAGGCCCCGCCTCTACCCGCCTCCCTGGGAGATGAGGCCCCGCCCCTCCCCGCCTCCCTGGGAGATGAAGCCCCGCCCCTACCCGCCTCCCTGGGAGATGAGGCCCCGCCCCTACCCGCCTCCCTGGGAGACGAAGCCCCACCCCTACCCGCCTCCCTGGGAGATGAGGCCCCGCCCCTCCCCGCCTCCCTGGGTGATGGGGCCCCGCCTCCCTGATCATCTGGGCACACCGCCCCCCAGTGGACAGATTCTGGGGCTGGGGTAGGAGGAGCAGTTTTCTCTCCCATCCTGGGGAGGCATGGAAGGACTGACTCTTCTGGGGTGGGGAGGGGGGAGGCGACCATGGCAGCCCTGTGGCCCTCCCTCCACTCCCATCCACGGGTGGCTGCCGGGTGGGCAGGGTCTGGGGTGCGGAGGTACCAGGCTGGGTCCTGACCCAGGTGGGGGCACAGGGCAGCCCCTGCAGGGCGATTCCCCCTCCCTCGTCAATCTCCCTCTGCGGGTAGGGCTGGGGGTGGGGAGCAAGGTCTCAACTACCTGGGGGGGGGATGAGACCTGACTCTGCAGGAGGGGTGCAGGGACCGCGTGGGGGCGGCTGCACCCCGGTGTCTGTCTTAATCCCACTCCTCATCAGCGACCTGCCTGCCCGGTAAACAGGGCTTGGTTCTCATAAGGCCCAGGTGTTCTAGGGGGCCCACCCTGTGACACCCCCACACTCCCTCTCCATAGCAGACATGGCTACCCTATAGGCAAGACCTGGGGCTGCAGGGGAGGGGAGAGCAGAGCAAGTCCTGCCTGTCTGGGGACAGGGGTGGGAAGCCAGCAGGGGACCTCTGTGACCCTAACCCCCATGGCCCCTCCCCAGCCCCAGCTGACCCTCCTGGCCGCCCAGTGTGGCCTCACGCTGCGGCAGACCCAGCGCTGGTTCCGGAGACGCCGGAACCAGGATCGGCCGCGCCTGACCAAGAAGTTCTGCGAGGCCTGGTGAGGCCAGGGTGGGGCAGGAGGGGGCGGCCCGGGGGTGCGGGGGTGCGGGGTGGGGGCTGCCCTTTCCATAGCTCTTCACGGGCTTCCTCCCTGCCTGCAGCTGGAGGTTTGTCTTCTATCTGTGTGCCTTTGTCGGTGGCGTCTCCGTCCTATACCACGTGAGTATACCTGGCTGCTCACCTGTCCCGTCCGCTTGTCCCACAAGCACCTGCCGTGATCCGGGCCTGGATGCGGGCAGGGGCAGGGGCGGGGGGGGTGTATGGAGAGGGTAGAGCCAGAAAGGACGAAATCTGTGTGCAACAGCAGAGGGGGGAGACAGCCTGGCGAGGTCACAGCGAGCGTTAACTCAGCCGGCACCCAGCGAGGGCCAGCTGTCACCAGGCACTGGGGACTCTGCAGTGAGTGAGCCCCCAGTCGCGAGTCAGAGGCACAGCTGTAACCAGACAGGAAGTAGCGGGGCTGAGTGAAAAGCAACCATAGTATGAGGCCATGGAAGCCCCGAAGATGCCCCAGGCCCAGGGTGGGAGGCTGCACTCTGACCCTTGCGGGCCCTGAGACACCTGTTTCCCTGCAGGAGTCGTGGTTGTGGACGCCGGCAAGGTGCTGGGACAATTACCCATACCAGGTGAGTGGCAAAGGGTGCACCGAGGCTTGGGGGTATCAGGGTGATTAGAGTTCCTGCAGCCGTAGGTGCAAGAGCCAAACCCAGACATTACAGCATCATTCCCCTCTGAGTGCCATTTTCTTTTCTTTTCTTTTCTTTTCTTTTTTTTTGAGACAGAGTCTCGCTTTGTTGTCCAGACTAGAGTAAGTGCCGTGGCGTCAGCCTACCTCACAGCAACCTCAAACTCCTGGGCTCAAGCGATCCTCCTGCCTCAGCCTCCCGAGTAGCTGGGACTACAGGCATACGCCATCATGCCTGGCTAATTTTTTCTATATATATTAGTTGGCCAACTAATTTCTTTCTATTTATAGTAGAGACGGGGTCTCGCTCTTGCTCAGGCTGGTTTCAAACTCCTGATCTTGAGCGATCCTCCCACCTTGGCCTCTCAGAGTGCTAGGATCACCATTTTCTATTTTTGACTCCTGGGTGGAAGACAAAGGGGCCAAGGGGTTAGGAAACTCAGAGCAGGAACTGCTATAAGAATACTGCCCTTGATTACCTTCAGGGACGGGGAGCTCACTAACGGAGATTCGGGTGTCCTGGTTTTGAGCAAACAGAGAGGGCCCTGAGCCATGCCCCTGCCTGGTCGGAGCCTTCACCACCCCACAGCTAACCTTACCCTGCCCCACCGCAGACCCTGAAGCCGGCCCTGTACTGGTGGTACATCCTGGAACTGGGTTTCTACATCTCGCTGCTAATCACACTGCCCTTTGATGTCAAGCGCAAGGTGAGGCCAGGGCAAGACTCCGGCTAGGGGAGTGACACCATGGAGGAGTCGCGACCCAGTTTCTGGACAGGGAGCTGGGGTGGGGAGGAGTGGCCTGAAAAGCACACCCGGAAACCCCCTGGGTGCCTCTGGCAGGAGGCATAGAGTCTGTGGGGCCAAGGCCACGCCGGGCCCTCCACTCGCGCTAGAGGACCTGCTTCTTCCAGGCCCGTGGGGTGGGGCCTCTCCAGCCACCGAGCCTGGCCCTCTGTGACCCACCGTCTCCCATAGGACTTCAAGGAGCAGGTGCTACATCACTTCGTGACCATCCTCCTGATGACGTTCTCCTACAGCTCGAACCTGCTACGCATCGGCTCTCTGGTGCTGCTGCTGCATGACTCCAGCGACTACCTGCTGGAGGTGGGCGCGGCCTCTCCCTGACCCCTCCCGGCCCCCCTGGTGCACCTGCAGATGAGGCCCCGCCCCCCAGTCTGAGTGGGAGGGGAGGCCCCGCCCTCGGCATCCCCAGAGATGAAGCCCCGCCCCTAGCCCCACCCCTCTCAGCCCTCCCGGGAGCTCAAGCCCCGCCCCTCTTCTTGGCGGATGAGGCCACGCCCACCCCGTTTGACTGGGTGATGAGGCCCCGCCCCTAGCCCCGCCCCCTCCTTCCTGGGAGATGAAGTCCAGCCTTTCTTTAGCCTTGGTAAAGTTCCTCACCCCGCCCACACCTTTCAAGGCGTTGCCTGGAGACAAGGCACCAAGCCACCTGCTCCCTCCCCATAGCCCTTTTCCATCAGAGATGTCCCCTTCCCTGGCCCCCCCCTCCCCCCTGGTCCCCGGTCCCGGGTCCCCAGCCGCGTCTCCTGCTGCCTCCCCAGGCCTGTAAGATGTTCAACTACACACGCTACCGGCTGGTGTGCGACACCCTCTTCGTCGTCTTCTCCCTGGTCTTCTTCTACACCCGCCTGGTGCTCTTCCCCACCCAGTGAGTCGGCCTCCCGCGGAGGGGTCGGGGAGGCTGCGCCCTACCCCAGTTGCCGGGGTGTCGGCTGGGAGACGCCCAGCAAGAGGCAGGGACGGGTGTGCCCGGCCCGGGCGCGGCATCTGCGAAGGCCGGGGGTGAGGGCGACAGCCAGGCACGGTCCCGGTGACCCAGCCGCAGGCCCGACCTTGCGAAGCCGACGCTGCGGGGGTGGGGGCAGTGGATGGTGCGGCAGACAGAGCGTGCGAAGGGGGCGAGGAAGGGAACCGTGTAGGGGAACAGTGTTCCAGGCAGAGGAGCAGCACGTGCGAAGCCCCCGAGACTGGACTGTGCCCCACGTGTGCTAGGAACATCAGACCTGGGTGGCTGGAGCAGAGCCAGTGAGGGGCACGGGGGAGGAGGGGGACGAGCAGGCTGTGCAGGGCCGTGGGGGCTGCAGGGAGACTTGGGCTTCCACCCCAAGGGAGGCGGGAGCCATGGAGGGCTGTGGGCAGAGGGGTGGGTACGGGACCTGACTCCGGTGCTCGCGGGTGCCCTCTGATGGCTACAGGGAGAACAGGTTGTCGGGGGCGGGGCAGGCAGGAAGAGCAGGGGCCAGGTGCCCCCAGGGCCAGGAGATGGGAACAACCCCCGAAAGCGCTGGATGAGGCATCGGGAGCTCAGCAGTGCAGGGTTTGAGGGGCCCGGCCCCCCGGCCCCCGAGGCGGCCGTGGGCACCCCAGTCTGGAACTCTTGGGAGACGCGTGCGTGTAAGAGTCGCCAGCCCACGACTGGTGTTTGCAGCTGTGAGCCCAGATGGGGTCACCTGGGGCCCAGGTGTGGCCAGAGGGGGCCGACCTGGGGCTCCCCTGCTGTTTGCAGGGAGAGCAGGAACCTGCTGCACCTGTCCCCGGGGTCTGAGCACTCTGGAGTGAGTAAGGCGAGGTCACTGGCGACCCTAGAGTAGATTTGGGGACAGACAGGGGGGACACTGCTGCTACAGCCTCATCTTTCGAGGGTTTCAAGAGGAAAGTGGGGGCAGGGGAGGCGTTCAAGAACATTCTTTGCAGCTGATGAGCTGAAGAGGCAGTCACCTGCTGGGGGAGGTCCTGGAGGGGGGGGTCTTAGGAATGGAAGGAAGGTGTGAAAGGGCCACCCAGGAGAAGAGCTGGGGTACTGAGCCCCCCCCCGGGGGGGGGTTCACGGTGAACATCCAGTTTTAGTATAAGCAGATGAGAGGGGTGCCTTGCACTTCCAGCTGAAAGGCATAGAGGGCACTGGGGAGTCATAGAAGGTTCCAGAGCAGGCGAGGCCACGCACGTGGGAGGCTCCAGCGGCTGGTGAAGCCCCCCATCCTTCCGGCCGTAGGATCCTCTACACCACGTACTACGACTCCATCGTGAACTGGACCCCCTTCTTCGCCTACTACTTCTTCAACGCGCTGCTGGTGATGCTGCAGCTGCTACACGTGTTCTGGTCGTGCCTCATCCTGCGCATGCTCTATAGCTTCGTGAGGAAGGGCCAGGTACGGCCCGGCAGGGGGCGGCTGGTGCGTGCGCCTGGCCCCGGGGTCCCCGGCCCAGCCCCCAAGCTCCTCTTCCTTCCTCCCTTTCCCCAGATGGAGAAGGACGTGCGCAGCGACGTGGAGTCGTCGGACTCCGAGGAGGAGGAAGAGGAGAAGAAGGCCGCTCGGGAATGTCCGCAGCTCAAGAACGGGGCAGCCCGGGGGCCCGCGGCAGCCGACGGCGCTCGGAGCCGGGTGGCCGGGCGGCTGGCCAACGGGCACACGCCAGCCACATAGGGCTGCCCGGACTGGTGGCCCTTGGGCCAGCTCCCCAAGGACAGGGAGGGCCCCACCCGGTGTGGGCCGGGAGGGCCGATGATCTGTCGCCAGCCCTTTCCTTCCGTCCGTCCGTCTGTCCTCCCTCCCTCCTCCCCTCCGGGCAGCTGAACTGAGCCGAAAGGCAGGAGCCCCAGGCCGAAAGGGGTCCAATAAAACTTGAACGGAGCCGAATTCTCTGCCTGAGAACCTGGGTCCCTGTCACAGCTCCTTGCCCATCCCTGGAGACCCTGGAGGGAGCCCGGCCTCTAGGCACATCCCCGGATGATGGGATACTCACTGCCACCCAAGCAAGGATGGGCACCACTCCCAGGGGCCCTAGACAGCAGCGAGGCTCAGAGGTCCCCACTGCACCCAGGCGAGTCCCTGGCGCCCCGGCCAGTGACTTAAGACAAGCCACCTCCCTCCCCCACCCCAGGGCAGCCCCTGGTCAGCAGCCACTGGGCTCACCAAGGGCAAGTCCTTGGCCCAAGGTCACACAGAGGTCATGGACCAAGCAGGAGGGGAGGCCCATGCCTTTCCCTGCAGCCTCTGCTCAAGACCAGAGAGAGGCCGGGCACCGTGGCTCACGCTTGTAATGCTTGTAATCCTGGCACTCTGGGAGGCCGAGGCGGGAGGATTGCTCAAGGTCAGGAGTTCAAAACCAACCTGAGCAAGAACGAGACCCCATCTCTACTAAAAATAGAAAGAAATTAATTGGCCAACTAAAAATATAGAGAGAGAAAAAATTAGCTGGGCATGGTGGCACATGCCTGTAGTCCCAGTTACTTGGGAGGCTGAGGCAGGAGGATCGTTTGAACCCAGGAGTCTGAGGTTGCTGTGAGCTAGGCTGACGCCAGGGCACTCTAGCCCAGGCAACACAGTGACACTCTGTCTCAATAAATAAATAAACAAACAAACAGAGAAAACCCCACCCTCGTGGTCCACCGGAGTCTCCTTGGGGACACTGCAGGAGATGAGAATAAATCTTACAGGCTTCCCAAGGATCATTCTGGAAGAGATGGGGACCAGGGGGTCACCCAATATCACATACATTACTGGGGGGAGTCTAAATTGTTACAGCCACTTTGGAAAACCATTCGACACTGTGTACAATCGTTGACCTTTTATAAAGTTCAGTAGCAACTCCGATGAGAGATGTGCTACAGGCATGAATATCTAGCTGCTACAGCTATAATAAACAGAAACTATAAACACAAAATTCAGAATAGTAATGTTACCTTCGATCTGGGAAGCCAGGGGAATGGGATTCAGGTAGATGTGACTGTTGCTGTTCCAATTTAAAAAAGGGATATGCAGGGGGAGGGGGGGAAATGGGCATTTATTGAAACCTTAAAATCTGTACCCCCATAATATGCCAAAATAAAAAAAAAAAAGGGATATGCAAAAAGACAACCTACAGAATGGAAGGAAATACTTGCATACCATATATCTGAAGAGGGTCTAGTAGCCACAATATATAAAGAACTCTTACAGCTGAACAACAAAAACCCGAATTAAAAAATGGGCAGGCGGGGCATGGTGGCTCACGCCTGTAATCCCAGCACTCTGGGAGGTCACTGTGGGAGGATCACTTGAAGTCAGGAGTTCAAGACCAGCCTGAGCAAGAGTGAGACTCCATCTCTACCAAAAATGGAAAAATTACCTGGGTGAGGTGGCACATGTTTGTAGTCCCAGCTTCTTGAGAGGCTGAGGCAGGAGGATCACTTGAGACCAGGAGCTGGAGGCTGCAGTGAGCTATGGTGACACCACTGCACTCCAGCCTGGGCAACAAAGCAAGACTCTGTCTCAAAAAAATTATAAAAAAATAATAAAATGCAGATTTAAAGTTACCATTTAAAATGCAGATTTAAAGCCCCAAAGGGGCTAGAGGGTGAGAACATAGGGAATAATTGTTTAATGGGTACAGAATTTAATTGTGTAGTGATGGAAATGCTTTGGAACTAAAGCTATGTTTGTTTCAGATGTCCTTCCTCTGAAAAAATAAAAATAATAAGCTGTGGTTGCAGAACATCACCAATGTACTAAATGCTGCTGAATTGTTCACATTAAACTGCTTAATTTTATGTTATATTAATTTTACCTTATTTTTTTTAAGACTAATCAAGTGCAGTAGTGTGAATTTTATCTTAAAATGCATGGAAAGCAGGCCCGGCGTGGTGGCTCACGCCTGTAATCCTAGCCCTGTGGGTTATATAGAGTGGGAGGATTGCTTGAGGTGAGGAGATCGAGACCAGCCTGAGCAAGACCAAGACCCCGTCTCTACTAAAAGTAGAATAATTAGTCAGGCATGGTGGTGCTAACCTGTAGTCCCAGCTACTCGGGAGGCTGAGGCAGGAGGATTGCTTGAGCCCAGGAGTTTGAGGTTGCTGTGAGCTAAGTTGACACCATGGCACTCTAGCCCAGGTGACAGAGCAAGATTCCATTTAAAAAAAAAAAGAAAAAGGATTTGCATAAACCAGTAATTAACAGTGTGTCACAAAACAAGGATTAATTATTCCAATTCCATTTACCTGGTAATTCTCCCACCAGTCACCCCCATTCCCTCCCAAACAAACCCTCATGGGTCAAAAGAAAAATCATAATGGACATTACACACTTACAGATGAACAATAAAGATATATCAATACTTGTGGGATGCAGCTTAAGCAATCCTATGAGGTAAATGCATAGCCTGATACAGATATATTAGAAAAGAGAAAAAGCTCAAAAATAAATAGCTAAGAATCTAATTTAAGAAGTTAGGCAGGCCGGGCGCTTTTGGTGGCTCACACCTATAATCCTAGCACTCTGGGAGGCCAAGGCGGGCGGATTGCTTAAGGTCAGGAGTTCAAAACCAGCCTGAGCAAGAGCAAGACCCCATCTCTACTATAAATAGAAAGAAATTAATTGGCCAACTAATATATATAGAAAAAATTAGCCGGGCATGGTGGTGCATGCCTGTAATCCCAGCTCCTCAGGAGGCTGAGGCAGGAGGATTGCTTGAGCCCAGGAGTTTGAGGTTGCTGTGAGCTAGGCTGACGCCACGGCACTCACTCTAGCCTGGGCAACAAAGCGAGACTCTGTCTCAAAAAAAAAAAAAAAAGAAGTTAGGCTAAGAACAGCACAAGAAACTCAATAAAAGAAAAATAAAATAAGTGCAGAAATGAGAATTACCAAACCCAAAAGTTGGTTCTTTGAAAGACTAATAAAATAGACAAACTTCTGGCAAGATTAATTTTTAAAAAGTAAGTCACAGTAAATAAAAGGAAAGATAGAAAACCATTACTGGCCATGTTTCAGATATTTTTAAAACTAATATCATGAAAACGTTGTCAATAAATTTGAAAGCTTCCAAAAAACTGGCCAAATTCCTAGGAAAATACAATTTATCAAAACTGACTCATGAATAACTTGACAACCTACAGTCCTATAAATATCAGCCAAATAATGACAAAACTAAATCAGCATTTAAAATTCTTCCCACAGGCGGGACCTGGTGGCTCACGCCTGTAACCCTAACACTTTGGGACGCTGAGGCAGGAGGATCACTTGAGGTCATGACCTGGTGTGAAACCCAAAAGCTTGCAGCCTAGAAACCCCAAAGACCCAAGAAAATAAGGAAATAACACAGATAAAAGCAGAAATCAGCAACCAAGAGGACAAAGGGAAAGAACTGGCAAGAATAAAAACCAAACTCTGGCTCTTTTCAAAGACTAACGAGACAAACCCCTGGGGAAAATGAGCAAAAGAGATGTGAAAGAAGTCCAAATAAACCAACTGTGAAAGAGGAAGAAGAAATCTTTACAGAGGTTACAGTTTTAGAGACTCATATGAGAAGGGCAAGAACACTCTATGCCAATAAAATTACAAATCAAGATGAAATGAATACATTTGTAGAAAAATACAAAATGGAGAAATTGTACCAAGCAGCAGCAGCAGCAGCAGCAGACTTGGCTAGACCCATAAATGTTAATGAGATCCCAATAATGGGGGAAAAAAAACTACCTCCCTCTAAAGGACAAAACCTTGGAGGATTTTTTTCTATCAAGTTTTATCAGCATTTCAAATAACAGTTGTTTCCTCTCTAATTCAGGTTGATACCAAGAATAGGGAGAAAATAAGAAAGGGGCAAATACCCCATTTCTTTTAAAAGGACAGTGTCATTTACAAACCCAAACCAGACGAGGCTACCATGTGGATGAGCCTTGAAACTTATCGTGCTCAGTGAAATATGCCAGACAGAAAGGCCACATATTACATAATTCTATTTATACCCAGAATGTCCGGAATAGGTAACTCTCTAACTGCTGAACCAGACAAATCTGGTTTTTCAGTTGCCGCGGACCCCAGGTTGAAGGCCACATAACCTGAGCATACCCAGAGGAACCAAGCCTGCAACCACGGGCGGAACCTAAGTGATCGGACTGAGGAGAAACAGGGACTGAATTAAGAAGTGGACGCCTCATGGCAGGAACCAATCAGATTGAGCCGTGGCACCATCATTCCGAGTATGATCCAATCAGATCTCTCATTACCCTCTGATTATAAAACCTGCTCCAATCCCCAGCTCAGGGAGATAGATTTAAGTCCAACTCATGTCTTGGTCACCTAACCATAAACCTTTCTTGCTGCAAAAACCTAGTGGTTTGATGTTTGGCCCTCTGTGAGACATGGGCAAATGGACCCAGTTGGGTTCAGTGAGTGACAAATCCATAGAAGCAGAAAGCAGATTGGTGGTTACTAAGGGGAGGGAACAGTACCAACTGCATGATGAGTAAAGGGTTTCCTTTGGGGTGATGAAATGTTTTAGAGTGCTGTGTATTATACATAAAAAAAGAAAGAAAAAATGTTTTAGAACTAGACAGAGTTACATAATGGTTACACAGCACTGTGAATGTACTGAATGAGTCATTCATTTCTAACTGGTTAGGTTTTGTTTTGTTTTGTTTGAGACAGAGTCTTGCTCTGTCGCCCCAGCTAGAGTGCAGTGACATCATCACAGCAACCTCAAACTCCTGGGCTCAAGCGACTTTCCTGCCTCAGCCTCCCGAGTTGCTGGGACTACAGGCACATGCCATGATGCCCACCTAATTTTTCTACTTTTAGTAGAGGTGGAGTCTCCCTCTTGCTCAGGCTGGTCTCTAACTCCTGACCTCAAGCGATTCTCCCACGTTGGCCTCCCCAAAGTGCTAGGATTACAGGCG